CGGTTTTAGCCTGAACTGTAAAGGAGCTCTTTCATCCTGCAATAGATCCAGCACTTTGGATAGCTGTTTTGAAGTTTGAACTAAAACATGAAGCAGATTCCCTGCCCCACAGCCATAGAAACTGTCTGCTCCTACTGTAGTTTGCAGCTCTGCCTCAGTCAGCAAATCATGGAGTGGATCTGATTTTCCAGTTAGGGTTTTAACTTCTGGAAACTGGAATTTGGACAGCAGCAATGCTACCAGTGACAGAAAACACAGTAGCAAGGCAAGAAACAAAGGCAAAATAAATAGACAAGAAAGAAAAGACAACATAAGGGGAGTAATTTATCTGCTAAACTGGGACAGTGGGATATATGGAATGATCATTGAGAAATCCCTGAGGATGATGTTAGTATTGTGCATCCTGCTAAGGAAAAATAGCCAGGAGCATCTCTGTTTCCCCTCCCATTCTCCAATGACATATAAATGGCCATGGGGTGGGGAAGTGTCAGAAATAAATGGACAGTTTGGGGGAATTTGGTTCATTTGAGCAGATGGAACAGAATTTTAACTTCTACAAAATGAATGAATGAATTAATTAATTAATAAAATATGCCATCATAATCCACTAATAAGACACCAGTCATTCTTTTAGATTGCAGAGCTTTCTTTTCTTTTAAGCATATAGAGCATTTGACTCAGTGTCCCTTTTATTATAGGATGTCTCTGCAAGATTTCCAAACTCATTTTGTGGATCTGATGATCTGTAAATTAACTCCTGATCTCATGAGTCAGGTGGATGGGAAGAAGTGGATGTGCTCCACGCAGTGTGGCAAATGGGTCAAAGGAAGTACAGCAGGTGGCAGAATGAGTGCCCACAAAGGTGAGAATTGGTTGGCTGCTCCTTGGGGAGATTCATTTTGAAAATGATACCTTGCTATAATGACACAAATATCTACTCAACCCATCTACTCAATTATGTCTAGAGTAGATGGTAAGCACCTACTGTGCGTATGGTCCTTCAAGTCTCCTGTCAATTTATGGCAACCTTATGATCTATTGCAACAATGTATGCAAAGTGTTTTATGCTCTTTGTAAAGTGCTGTATATTGCTGAATATAAAGTGCAAATTAGTGTATAAAGTGCTGCATAGGGTTGCTATAGAGAGCCAGTGTGGAGCAGTGGTTTGAGTGTTGATCTATGACTCTGGAGACCAGGGTTCGAATCCCTGCTTGGCCATGGAAACCCTCTGGATGACCTTGAGCAAGTCACATTCTCTCAGCCTCAGGGGAAGCAATGGCAAACCTTCTCTGAACAAATCTTGCCAAGAAATCCCCATGATGGCCCTAGGGTCACCATAAATCAGAGACAACTTGAAGGCATACAACAACAACAAAGGATTGCTATTGTTGTTGTTGTTGCAACAATGCTCAGCACTGAAGAGTTAAAGATGTCTTTGAAAGAGGAATAGTTGATAGGGTTAAGTAGATTTTAGTGACCCAGAATTTCCTCATCTCTTATCCACCTATCTTAACCTTTCTGAAGTGGAAATGAATACATCTATGTACCTACCTCTTCCCTCATTCTCTCACTTCTTTTAAGAGCGAAACCAGCTTAGTCCATTGCTACCTTAGGACTCTTAAAGGGCTTTCTTATCTTTAATTGAGTTTTTTACAATGAAGCCTTAGGGCCATTACAGACTGCCAGAAATAATCCAGCTTGAGGCCACTTTAACTGTCCTGGCTCAATGCTAGGGAATCATGGGAATTGTAGTTTTTTTCTGAGACATTGAGCCTTCTCTGTCAGAGAGCTCTGGTGCCACAATAAACTACAGTTCCCATGATTCCCTAGCACTGAGCCAATACAGTTAAAGTGGCCTCAAGTTGGATTATTTCTGGCAGTCTGTAAAGGCCCTTAGTTTGTTCCTTTAGCCATTGGTTCTTCACTTACTCAGAATTGCTAGCCGCTGCATACATTGACTCATCATTAAAATACAATGGTAGTATTAGCCTAAAGCCTGACATCCAGTGAATGGATATTCACTCATGAAATTACCTTTAGTAACAACAGCCGATGAAGCAACTAGATGAAGAGAATGCTGTGATGCAGCATACCTTGATTTCAGTAAGGCCTTTGACAAGTTCTCTCATGATATTCTTGCAAAAAAAAGCTAGTAAAATTTGGGCTGGACAATGCTACAGTTAGGTGGATCTGTAGTTAGTTAACTGACTGAACCCAAAGGGTGCTCACCAATGGTTCCTCTTCATCTTATCCTGGCGAGAAGTGACAAGTGGGGTGCCACAGGGTCCTGTCCTGTCCTGGGCCTGGTGCTATTGAACATCTTTATCAATTACTTGGGTGATAGCATAAAGGACATGCTTATCAAATTTGCAGGTGACACCAAATTAGGAGGGGTATCTAATATCCCTGAGGACAGGATCAGGATTCCAAATGAACTTAACAGAGTTGGGCCAAAACTAACAAAATACATTTCAACAGGGAGAAATGTAAGGAGGAAAAATATATATGAAAACCTCAGATATAAGATGTGGGGCACCTGGCTTGACAACAGTACATGCAAAAGAGATCTGGGAGTCTTAGTAGACCACAAGCTGAACATGAGTCAGCAGTGTGATGCAGCAGCTAAAAAAGCCAATATGATCCTAGGCTGAATCAATAAGATCATAGTGTCTAGAGTAGACTGTAGGAAATCATAGTACCACTCTATTCTGCTTTGGTCAGACCTCACCTGGAATATTGTGTACAGTTCTAGGCACCACAATTCAAGAGGGATATTGACAAGTTGGAACATGTCCAGAGGAGGGTGACCAAAATGGTGAAAGTTCTGGAGACTATATATTCTATGACCGGTGGCTTAGGGAGCTGGTTATGTTTAGCCTAAGGAAGAGAAGGTTAAGAGGTGAGCTGATAGCCATGTTTAAATAGTTGAAATGATGTCTTATACTGAGGGTGAAGCAAGCTTGTTTTCTGCTGCTCCAGAGATTAGGACATTGAGCAATTGATGCAAACTACAGGAAAAGAGATTCCACCTAAACATTAGGAAGAGCTTCCTGATGGTGAGAGCTGTTCAACAGTGGAATACACTACTTCAGAGAGTGGTGGAGTCTCCTTCTTTGTACGTTTTTAAACAGAGGCTGAATGGCCATCTGTTGGGAGTACTTTGATTGTGTCTTCCTGCATGGCTGTCATGTTTAGTGGATCCAAACTTCAAGAACCAGGACAGCATGGTAGTGATAAAAGTACTACAGCTTTATTTAGGATTCTTTAGACAGAGATACGCCACAGACTTGTTAGTGTCAAATCTGATTTCCCCCAAAACGATTCATCCATATCAATCTATCTAACCCAGGAAGGAAGGTGTCACCTTTTGGGTCATCAAAGTTTTGTCCTAGGAAGTAAACAGGGTCATAAAATGACAAACCTCCCCTGTTATTGCCCATTTGTCTCCCAGTTTATTCAGATTATAGCCCCCTTCTTTATTCCTCTATATCTCTATTACTCTATATCATTTATCCTCATTCTCCCATGTTCTTTATTATGGCAGATCCATATCTTTTGGATATGACAATGGCTGTGGTTTGGACTGGAGGGCCCTGGAGGTCTCTTTCAACTCTATAATTCTATGATTCTTTGACTACCTCCTTCCCTTGGCAGCTTCCTAACACTTCTCTCATCTGATGCAGAGAGTGTGAGATGTGAACAAGGGGTTGCAAGGAGAGGTAGATCATAGGCTTTTTTCATGCACACAAAGAACCCTTTTGTTTGCACATAAGCAACACAGGATCTAAGCCACTATATTATTTTAGAAAGGAATATATTTCTATACAGGCCACACCTAACATTAGATTCCTCTGTTTCTGCAATGATCTGGAAACAAATGTAAGAAAATTGTCAAGAGTACTCAGACATAATATAAAAAATGAAGTCCAGCATGGCTACTACCTGAGTGCCCCTGGAGTTATGCTCCTAAAAGTAATTATCCCAGTTCAGTCCCTGGTTTCTCTAGGTAGGGCTAGGAAAGAATCCTGCTTGAAACCCCTTGGACATCTGTTGCAAGTCAAAGTTGACGATACTGTGCCTAATGTCTGGCTTAGTATAAGGTTGCTTCCTATGTTTCTAATCATATATGTTTTAGATAACACCTACCATCACTGTGACCACTGGCCATGCTGGCGGGAAACAATGGGGGTTGGAGAGTACTGCATCAGGTTGGCTGATTTAATGAAATCAAGCTATATGTTGTGAAATTATGATTCTGATTTTTTGGAATAGTATATAAAGGGGTGTTGTATGTAGCATCTTTGAGACTAATTGAAAGACAGAATTTGTAGCATAGGTTTTCGTAGACTGAGTCTACTTAATCAGATTCAACTATTATGATTCTGTAGAATAACACTGAAGAAAACATTTACCTGCCATAGAGTGCATCGCTGCATATTAGAACATGTCTTACTTTCTTATTTAGTCTAACCCAGATCAATTATATCAAAAAAGCAGCTAATAGATATCTGGAATGAGATTTTTTTTTTTTTATGGGGGGATGTTATCTGTATCCCATTTCCATCATGTATCATTGCTAGACATGTCTTCTGGTAGTAAGCCTTGCAACCAAATAGTGAATATAAGGCCACAGGTGTATTCTCTCGCTCCTCAGGTACATTTTGCATGAATCCCCAATACCTGCTGAAAGTCCTGCAAGGCAATGGTAGCAAAAGGTCGTTTTACTCATGCAGTGTGATGATATCTCTGATCCAGAAACATAACAACAAACACCGGAATCGGATGCCTCATCTTCACATAGGACTCTCTGTTTACAAGGTAGGAGGAATGTTTTTACTCATGAGATAAGCAATGTACTGTGTATCATCATGTGGAGTTTGAGTGTTGGACTATGACTCTGGAGACCAGAGTTTAAATCCTCACTAGGCCATGGAAACCCATGGTGTTAAGTCAGAAATGACTTAAAAGCATATGACAAAGTGTCATAAACTGGGACACAAATTTTCACTTAATTTGTTCTTGCACACAAGACTTAAATACTCTTCAAACTCCCCCCCCTCTGGATGAGAATACAAGGGTAATAGTGCATTTTATTTAATCATTTATTTACAATTTGGAACTTCTTTTGAAAAATTTGGGGTTGGGAGAACTTGGTGTTTTTAACATAAAAACAGCATTTTATGCAGAAAATAGTGAGTTTTATGCACAATAGATTTTCCACTCAATTCCTTTTTTCTTTTTCTTTTTAAAAACAACAACAACATTTCTTTATGAAGCCCTTTTCACCAAAGGTTGGAACATCAAATATATATAATAAAAGACAAAATAATAAATCAAGTAGTGTGTGTATGTTGTGTGCCTTCGAGTAATTTCCAACTTATGGAAACCCTAAAGTGAAACTATCATGGAGGTTTTTGGCAAGATTTGTTCAGAGGAGGTTTGCCTTCCCCTGATGCTGAGAGCATATGACTTGCTCAAGGTCACCCATTGGGTTTCCATCATGGGACTGGGAATCAAACCTCGGTCTACAGATTCATATTCCAACACTCAAAGCACTATGCCATGCTGGATCTCATAACAGACACTATCATATACTATCATATACTAAAAATAAAATCTCTACCACCCTACCAGTTGTTACTTGTTTCAGTAGTTTTAGGCATACTCAGCAGCTTAATATGGTGAATAAAAAAGGATGGTGTTCAACTCTTTGTGGAGAATCTTGCAAAAGAGTTCCTAATGCCAAAAATCTCATGGTGGTTGATGATTTTCTCACTGTTGAGATGCCCTTCCTCATAAAGGAATAAACATAGGAATAAATGTGACTTTAGAAATAATTAACTACTATAGTTGAAACAGAAATACAGTGGATCTCACTGCAGTGGAGAAGCCTGCAATCAGTCTTCAGCTCAGTCTGCTGTCAGGTGCTTACCATTCATGGCCTTTTCAAGGCTCCCTGTTCTGTCTCTTGAAATTAAATCCAAGCTTTGACAGACAAGCCAGTTAAATTGAAAATACCTTTGGATACAAGACATTCTTCTGAAAGCCCATCAAATGGAAGAACATTTTTGGTGAAGTAGCACACATAGCCACTCTGATAGTGGATGTAATCTGCACAATGGGAGCTGGACCATCTTCAGCTATTTTAAAACAGATTAGAAGAAAAGCACTGGGAAAGATAACTTTCCCTGTAGGCATTAATTATGTTCCCCATCCTA